AACGAGCACCTCACGTTCTTCCAATGACCCCTCCCTCAAAAAATAGTCCCGTTGTTCCGTTTTTAGGGGTTTGTTGTCCGATTTTCTAGAAGGGCTGAGTTTTAAACATTTGAGTGTTCATAACTTTGAGTGTTCATAACTTCTCCTTGAATCAACTCCCTGTAACTATCAGAGCTAATTAGAAACAAGAAGAACAGCGCTCTCGAAGCAGTGCTGGAACTTTTTCAAAAAATCACTCTTCAAAAAATAGTCCCGTTGTTCCGTTTTTCCCCCATGATTTTTTCAAGCCATTTTCCTGAAACGCGACTTTGCAATCCTCAAACGTCCATAATTTCCTTCAAAATTCGTATAATGAGAAGCGGTAGAAAGTGTCGAAGTCTAAATGAAGAGTGCTTTACAACGTATGCAAAATTTTCCTGAAAAGCTCTTTTCTGCCAGAATTTCTGAAGTAGTCTCTGAAGCCAATGCAGCTTCAACTTTCTTCCACTTAGATTTGTTCTGAAAGCATAAAGATTTCTTCAAGGAAGTTTGCCTGCTCATGGCTAATAAAAGGTAAAGCGCCTTGAAGTAAAAGCAACTGCTCGGTGTACGCCGTGCACCTGCCTGTGGTTGGCAGTCGCACTAGCATTTGAAAGTCCTCCACTCCCCTTGAAATGGTGATAGTGTCGCTATTGTAGTTGCATTGTACTGCTATATGAAATCCTATATTCTCCATGCATTTCTTGAGCCCCTGTGTATACGACCCCTCCCCCCTCGTTCGGCCGAATACGACCCCCTTCCAGGTCAACTCTATCATTGGTACTTTTTGGAATTTTTTACGACCCCCCCCCCTCCTTCATTGGCAATTTGATACGACCCCACCCCCCTCTGAGACCCAAAAAACCGATAGGTGTAATAATAGGTGCAATAATATGAAAACTAGAGGTAGCGTTTTGAATATGTTGAATCGCGCCACCGCGATGGGGCCCGTTTGCTGATCGGAAACAGGTGACGAACGGGATCTGAAAATCTGGACGAACTTTTCTAAGTTAAATTTCAGGTAGCTCGGAGAGTAAGGTGGTGGGTTTTGGATCAGCGACGCTCATCCTTCATAAGTAAACCTAATTTGTTCTCAAACTATTCGAAATGAATAAGTTATTGAGCAAAAAATAAAATTGCACTACAATTTTTACCTTCCTCTTTCTAGGGCTATAACTTCCTTCATATTCAAGCTTTTGCCGAAGTTATTTGATTTGAAAAATTCAAATTATTCTCTCTCCAATCATGGCTAAATTTTCTTTCAAAGCTAATTTAATAAAAATTTAGCACGTTTGAACTTTTTTCTGGTCAAATGCGACTTTGCAACTTCTAAATGGTCATAACTTCTCTCAAATTCAGTCATTTGGGAAGCTGAACACGGCATATAATAAACTACAGGATTCAAGCTTTCTAACGAGCACCCAAACGTTCCTGAAAAAGTCAGCAGTTCAAAAATTAGTCCCGTTGTTACTTTTTTGAGGGGTATTCTTCAAGCCATTTTCCCGAAAACGCGGGTTTTCTTAGGTTTCACTGCCCGTAACTTCTTGGAAGACCAATTTCATGTTTAACTTAGGATGTGCTAGAAAGCTTCGAGCATGCGCTTGCACTACATCCCTTGCCTTGGTGCGCGCCACGCCTCGGGCGCCCTTCTAATTCGCTGATTCATTTGAAAGCTCATTTAGAGGGAAGCGTGGTTTATGCTCTAGTATCAGTTATCTTGCGTAAACGTAACGTGCTGGCTATTATCCATGTTTTCACAAGCAATGCCGAGCAAGCCGGCCACCGAGAGAGTACGACCCCCCTCCAAGTCCATGCAAGTACGACCTCCGTTGCTACTTGTAGCAACATAGGGTTAACTCTGCCCCCTTGTTGTTCTTTGCGCAACGGGTGGTTGCCTTGCACCATTCCCGCTGAGCTATGTGTCAGATGAAAATGATCGATGCTCTCATCCTTAGATGTCTTAGAGCGTAGGAGACGTAGAGCACATCCCTACTTTCCCCCAACTGCGGTTTCCACGCAGATAATGAGGTGAACGTTGGGAGCTAACCATAAGTCAAGAATACGGGCATGGCGAGAGTGTACTAGACAAGCGAGGCAGCAGATCGCTGGATATGGGGAACCTTTTTGACACCAACTAAAGATTGTTAAGAGTTTGTTGAAAGATCCCTCATCGTAAAGCGAGGTTGCATGAGGCTAGATCTGACGAAATCTGCACTTTGTGTTTGTGCAGCTCGAAATTGCCTTTGGATTCGCCTTTTCACAGCGTTTGTGACGTTCAAAACACGAAACTTTTTGCCAAGACCGAGATGAAAGGTATGTTTTCCAATACAAACGCTATTGCAGTCACCGACGAGCACGTAATTTCTGAACATTAGTATAGTGATGAATATAACACGTTTTCATCAGCACATACCTCATTGGCCCTACATTGACTCCCCAACACCACAAAATTAACCTATTATGAGGCTTATCATCTTGGCTATTGTGTTTCTTCTAGCTCATATCGCAGATGGTGCCTGCGTGCGTCGCAAAGAATTAAGATGGAGAAGATTCGGAGCCTTCTTCTCGTCATTCTTTCGTAAATTCCTTAGTATAGAAATGAGGACGAATTTTGTAAGTTTTCTCGGTACCACATATGCTTTTAGAGAATGTAAGATATTTTAGACTAGCCAAGATCTATTGCTTGGCTATTACGTGCTTCTTCCTACCAGCGACCAAAAGGGTGGAACAAAATTCCTTGATCTCGCATCTCTTTCATATTATGTAAGTTGCCTATAACATATTGTGTTTAACTAAGGCGATTAATAGATTCCTGTCCACTGGGAATCTGAATATTGCAGTGAAACTACAGTGCTCTGATGAGATTTCGCATTGCAGGGCGATTACTGGCCCGTGTTCATGCGCTTCCGTCAAGTGGGGAGAATATTTACTTTCGAGTACCCACTGACCTCGCAACAGTTCATGGATGGCTTATACGATTGTAAGCTGGAGCTTTAGTAATCATGAAACTCTTGTTTCTTGCATTCTAAATAAAATCTTGTATTTTTGGAAGTGTTCTTTCAAAATAATTCCATAATTTGTAATATATTCCCACACAGTGAATATGTAAGAGTCGAGCTTCATCTTAGCTTTATGTGCGCAATATCTTCTTCATCAAATCAGTAAAGGAAGTCAGTGGTGAGGACTACAAAGATCGAATACCTTCATTATCGAGTCGCTGTTACTAACAGCTTTTTCAAACTTCGAGGTATATGAGATTTGAAGGAGCTGCTAGCACAACGGAGGAAACGTTCAGGAAACTAGAATTCGCAGTGAAGATTTAAGTCTCGTCACAGTACGCCGAGACTCACTTCTTTCTTTTTTGCCTTTGA